TCTGAGCGGGTGCCCGGCTCGAAACCCATTCGGGGGAGCCGGCCAGTGTCCGTCATAAAGGGTACCTGTTGAGTGGAGGAGTGAACGTGGTTGTTATAGGCGAACTCAGCGGCAGGGATAAGCTCGTCCCAGTCGTCTTGTTGGTAGTTGGTGAAGATTCGGATGTACTGCTCGAGCTCCTGGTTAACGCGTTCGGTTTGTCCGTCGGTCTGCGGGTGGTAAGCCGTAGAGGTAGCCGGCTTGACGCCAATTAAGCGCCAGAGTTCGCGCGTGAAGTCAGCGATGAACTGCGAACCACGGTCCGAAATGTACTTCTCGGGGGTTCCGTGGTGTCTCCAGACGTTCCGATAGTACAAGCGGGCAGCTCCGACCGCGTCTATTGTCGTATGGCATTCGGTGAAGTGAGCGCGTTTCCCGAGGGCGTCAACCACTACCATAACCGCGTCATACCCATGGGCCTCGGGGAGCTCGACGATGAAGTCCACAGTGACGGTGTGCCAGCGCTCGGGGGACTTCGGTTGGATGTAGCTCCCCATGCGGAAGCCTTCGGAGGGCCTTCGTGACGACAGCATAAGTCGCAGGTCGCGACGTAGCGTCCGATATGGCGGGACATCTGTGGCCACCAGTAGTTGCGCCGAAACCAACTCCAGGGTCTTGAACCGCCCGGCATGTCCGGCGACACGCGTGTCGTGGCAGAGCTCTATAATGCGCCTCCTCAGGTCTTTGTCTTTGGGGACTACGACCTTGCCGCGGAAGTACAGGAGGTCGCCTGAGACGGCCCACTCGTCCGAACGCGATGAGCGGGGGCCCCGAGCTTGACCTCGGACCTTCAAGAGTTGCCGAGCCGCAAGTGCGACGGGTTCCTCTAGGTCAGGCTCACCGGATAGCGCTTCCTTGATGTCGCGGACAAGTTCGGAGCCAGGCCCAGAGACAGTGACGGCCTCAAGCGCGCGAACGTGGAACAGTTCGGGGCGTAAGAGGGTGACATCCGAGTTGTCGTCGGAGATACCGTGGTCAGGCCGGCGGGAGAGAGCATCGGGACGGCCCATCTGGCGACCTGGGACGTGGTGCAGCGTAAAGTCAAACCTGGAAAGGTACAGCGACCATCGGGCTTGCCGACGATTAAGGTGTTGCGCCTTTCGGAAGTATTCCAAGTTCTTATGGTCAGTCCAGATCTCAACCGGATGCGCGGCGCCCTCGAGGAAATGCCGATACTCCTCGAGTGCGCGGATGATCGCGAGCATCTCCTTGTCGTGAATCTCGTAGTTGCGCTGGACATCATTTAAGCTTTTGGAATAGAACGCTACAGGGTGCCACTTCCCGTCCGGGGCGGATTGTTGTGAAAGAACCGCCCCGTCGCATAATCTGAGCTGTCTGCTTCAAGTCGGAAAGGCCGAGAGTCGTCCGGGATCGCTAAGACAGGTTCTGATACGACCGCGTCCTTGATGGCTTGAAAGGCGGCGGCTTCGGCGTCTCCCCAGGTCCATTTCTGGTCTTTCTTGGTGAGCGCAAAGAGAGGTTGCGCCAGGGCCGAGAAATCCCGAATGAACCTGCGGTAGAAATTAGCAAACCCCAGGAACTGCTGAACGTCCTTCTTGTTTTCGGGCGGAGGCCATGCGGAGACTCCGGCGACCTTAACGGGGTCCATTTCGACATGGTTGTGCGAGATAATGACCCCCAAGTACTCGATTGACGATTTCTCAAGTCGCACTTTTCCTTGCGAAGGTACAACTTGTGCATTCGGAGCCGCCGAAGGACCTCCCGGACGATCTCGCGGTGCTTGCGGAGGTCCGAATGTGCGATAAGGATGTCGTCGAGGTAGATCATAACGTCGCCTGAGAGAATGAGATCCTGGAAAATGTCATTCATCATCGTTTGGAATGTCGCGGGGAGTTTGTCAGGCCGAAATACATCACCAAAGGTTCGAACAACCCTCGGTTAGTCCGAAAGGCCGCCTTCCACTCGTCTCCTTCTTTAATCCGGACGTTATTAAAACCCCAGCGAACGCCGAGTTTGGTGAAGTAACGAGCGCCCTTGAGCCTGTTGATAAGGTCGTTAATCAACGGAAGGGGGTACCGGTTCTTAATCGTCATTGCGTTGAGGGCGCGGTAGTCCTGGACAAACCGAAGCCCTCCGTCCTTTTTCTTAACGAAGAAGACGGGGGAGGCCATCGGAGATTTCGAAGGGCGAATACGGCCTGTGGCAAGTCCTTCCTCGATGAACTCGTCAAGTTCGCGCTGTTCGAGGGGGAGATCGGATACACCTTGCAGTTAGCGGGCTTTCGCGTCGGGGACGAGTTCGATAGCGTGGTCCCAAGCCCTTCGTTCTGGTAACGTGTCAAAGGACTCCTTGTCGAAGACGTCTTGGAACTCCTTGGCCCAGTCCGGGATCTCCGCAGGCGGAGGGGCCGAGTTACGGGCGAAGGCCTCTGCAAGGCGTTGGGACACTGTACTGCCAGGCGGATCTCCTCAACTGGGCGAAAGGAGGTGTAGAAGATGCGGTCGCCGTCTTCAAGATGCTCGTCGCCGTCGAGATCTGGTGAGGGCTCCGGAGGGTCCAAGCAGCTCCGAGCTCGTCGTCAGCATCATCTGGGCCAGCGATATCGATAGCGCAAACGGTGGGGAAGGCGCCCGCAAGTAGTCGTGATTTAAGGAGTCGGAGCCGCCCGAACCTCAGCGCGTTCGGTCCGCTCTTCGTCACGGCAGGTAGAGCAGCTGCGGGGGCAACGACTCATTTTCACCTCCTTTGTTTCCCAGTTGATCTCGGGGTTATGCTTTTTGAGCCAGGAGTATCCGAGTATCAGGTCCTGTTTCCCAAGGTGGGTTACAGCCAGCTGAACGCGTTCGGAGTGTCCGTTGTACCGTAGAACGAGGTCCGCGATTTGGCGAATAGACCCAGCATCATTGGGGGTGCCGTCGACGTTGTAGACCGGGATGGGTACTGAGAGATTTCGGACTGGCACATTATTCCGGTTGACATATTCTGTGTCGATAAAGTCCAGGTAGCTCCGCAGTCGACCAGACCCGAGAGGGAGAGCTTGAGCGCGTTCGCAGTGGACTCAAGTTCAAGGGGGAGGTGCAGCGAGTTAACGCCAGGAGCGGCAGAGATGGTATAACTGCCAGGTAGCTTTTTCTCCCAGGCAAGTCGGCGAATCCGAACGGGGGGCTTCGGAGGGGGCAGAGGGTGCGTCTTTCGTTTCGGGCTCGTTGTAGGGCAAGGGAGTTGATTCATCATACAAACAAGTGAAACGATTTATGGACGCGAACGAGGGCACACCAGTCACTCGTCGCGGGGACAAAATCCTCTGCCGGAGCCTCCGAATGCGCCTCCGCTAAGGCCGCAGTATCGGACAACCGCGCAAGCAGCTCTCCCAGCATCTCATCGCCAAGTTGCTGGATTACCTCGTCGAGGATGTCCACATGGCGGACGTCGGCGGGGAGCGGACAGTCCCGAGCCAAATGGTTGGGGTCGCCGCATCTGAAGCAGGCTCGACGAGGGGCACCCCGAGCCCTAGTACGATCCAGCTCCATAGGGACGGGAGCCGGAGGTACCGGGACGGGGCGCGGGCCGGGTGGCACAGGGGGGCCACCGGGCGGATGGGGAACGGAGTTGCCGAACGAGTGATGGGGAAGGCGCCGCCGGGGCTCCCGAAGCGGTCCGCGGGGTAGCCGTTCCCTTAATGAGCTTCGCTCGCACCAGGGCTTCATATTGTCGGAAAGCCCGAGTGCGCCAGCCCAGATAGTCACGGAGGTCTGGGGGGTCGTTCGAAGAGGTGATGCCGTTGTTGATCAAGGGGTCAAGTCCGTGGCGGTACTTGGTTACCTTAACCAACGCGTCTTGAGCCAGCGAGGTCCATCAAGTCCTCGAAGTCGTCGGTGTATCCGTAGACATCCCGCGTTCCCATGTGATAACCCCGCTTTCCAACTTAGCGAGCGCGAGGTCCTGTTCGTTCTCCTCGACGAACCGAAGGCGAAACTCGGAGAGGAACTGGCTCCACCGAGGGAAGGGGAAGGGGTTTTTGCTCCCATGACGCTCTGCCCATTGTTGAGCAGGTCCCTCCGCCATATAGGACATGGCGTAGCGGACGGCCTTTTCTTCGCTCGGCTCTCCGTTAACTACGAAGGCCTCCGGGGCAAGCCGAGCGTAGGTTTTGACCCGTATAGGAAGGCGCGGCCGCGTTTGCGATCTCCGTTAAACGCAAACGGGGGGTTTGGTCGTAAGACCAGTTTTGAGGCGACAGTAATGTCACCAAATAACGCATCCGCGTCGGGGCATTCGGAGATGCCGAGGCGGTTCGGGAGCTGCCGGAGGTGGTGCGGCAGCGGAAGCCTGGGAAGCAAGGTGGGTGAGGAGATTGGTGAGGTTGTCTAGTTTCGCCTCAAGTGGCGTCCATGCGCGCGTCAGCCGGAGCAGCTCCGGTAGACATAGCGGGCGTAAAGACGACAAGAGCAGAGGAGGAGGGGTCAAGTGGCAGGGGCGGTGACGAGGGGGGTACGGACTCGTACTCCGAGCCTGAGTCAGCACCAAACCTGGCAATCTTGACCGGTTAATCCCGTAGAGAGTTTCTTCTGCTGTAAGGGCAACCCTGGAGACTCCGACGAAAGCCTAGCAGGGGAGGATCCAAAGCGTGAATAAGACTACAGGAAATACATGGAGGGACCGACCTAGCAGGGGAGGATCCAAAGAGAAGAAACTCTAAGGGTCCGCCTGCTAGGGCGCCAACTATATACTGGTCGTCCGTAACTGCCGACGTAGAGCGCAGAAGGCCTGAGCGGCGTCGCAGGCTCTGTCCCAAGGTGATCGTTGGGAGGGTCTTGACGGATCGGTGATTGTGCGGGCGAAGGAGGCCGTGGACGATGGTCGGGGTGGGTCGGAGCGTCCGAGGGGGCGCCGGTCGGATGCGCCTCGGATGCGTTCGGAGGGTCCGAAGGAGGCCGAAGCGGGGGTTCCCCTGACAAGTACAGACACAACAAACAGACTAGTCAGCCAAGGCCTAATGATCATACTATTTCCCCTTGTGTTTCTTCCTTCCACACAGGCTTCAACTCAGTAGCACTGCCACTTGCTGTCAAAGCCGATCTGGTTGTGGTCCCAGACCGTGCTCTAAACTCAAGAGTGGCTGAGGTACTGGAACCCTGGGATTTACTTCCAGAGGCACTAGTATCTCCATTAAAGGCTAAATGTAAGCCAATGCGTGCAATAATTGAAAATGAAACCAGTGGCTAAACAAGCTTCTTTATCAATTATGTCAATTAAGGATACGAATGTATCACTCACAGAGAGTTGGCCAAGAATAGCAAGAATGCATTCAGATATTCCACCAAGACCCTGTTTCCAGCAAGCCAGCCAAATCAAATCAACTATTGCCATGACAGAACCTGTTTTTTTTAACAAATCACTTGATGATTAATCTCATAATTTCAAGGCTTGGATAGGAAACATACCAGATTCTACCAGCATCCAGATAATATCTGAATAAGTAGACAGATTCCTGCCAGTGGTTGCTACTCTGGACAGTTTCCTAAGGCTTTGTGATGCAGAGTAAATTTTGATAGCCAACAGTGTTGTAACAACAAGTTGGGTAGCCGCCATCAGAGAGAAACCAGCAATCACAACCTGATCAAAGCTATTGCTGCGAGTACCCATCAGGGATTTGATGATCAATGATGGATTGACAAATGTTGTGATGATAGAATATAGGTTGCAAGCTGTGGACATAAGCATATCAATTCTCCTGTGCTTTCTGCAAGATGGATTACTATACATACCAACCTCGGCACCTGCAAGACAAACAGGAAGAATGATTATCCACCAATTGTTCCCATAAACAACATAAAGGCGCCATATCTGCCATTTTACACACCATAAAAATAGGACAAATGACTTGTGGTAGGCTTACCAGAATAATATCACCAATAAAGTTCTGTTGACTAATAAGACTGTTTGCACTATTTGAAAGGGAAAGGTAGCACAAGACTCACATTGAGTGTGTGCATCAGCTGTCGTGCATTTGTCCATCGTCCAAGTGGTGAGATCCACACTTGAGTTAACTGTGCTGTTGGTGCTGTGGAACTGACAACTGTAAATGCATTCACAGCAGCACCCAGAGCACAGATAATATGTGCAGTAGAGAGAAGGAACTGGACAGATATGGCACTAAGCAAAAACCTATTATAAAAGGAAAGGCATAAGGAGATCCATGAATATTTTTTGGTTTGAATAAAGTATGATAACTACTTACCAAGAATGCTGACCTCTGGAATGTTTCTTTACAAGGATTGCCCAGCAAATGACAAACATAGCAATGCTGCAAGGAAACCTTAGCATTTGTCGGCAGATTTAAATTGGCTTAACTCACTTCACTCCTGTAACATAAACCAAGACAAACCAAAAAGATGATTAGAAATGAACTCTTATCTAACAAATGGAACAATAAGCACCATAGATGAGTGTTGTTGGCCAAAGAGAAGCAATCCCAATGAGCTGGTTTGGTATGTCGAGCTTGGCCATACTAGTGGGAGTCTCCGAAGAATACTGGTCTACGCATTCCCGTCGAGTTCGGATATATAGCCTCATCGACAATAGAGCCCGGGAACATCATGATCACGGAAATCATGATCACTGTGTTTCAGTTGCTGATAAGTCTAAAAATGTTCAATACGTTCAAGTTTCGTTGTTCCGCTCAGCTTATATCACTCCACTTATATCCCTCCACTTATATCACTCCAACTGTGTTCAGGGCTGGCTATGTTTGCACAGATGATTGTTCAATCCGCAGGCAGGAGAATTCGATGGAATGTACTTAATCTCCGCTGGGACCTGCCGACGTTTATGGGCCAGTGCAGACGCTCCCACTGTCAGCTTTAGTGAGGGAAGGGTTATTAATACCACGATCCTCGTTTCCGCCTTTCCTTATCTATATACGGCTCATGCGCCGTGGCCAACTTCGGCAGAACTTGTAAGCACCTGGGTCTTTGCTAATAATATCCTTTGCATTGTTTTGAGTCCGCACAAACCTTACTAGTAAACTGGCATGCTCATATCAACAGGAAATGATTCAAAAAAAATAATCAGATTCTGGTTACACAATAATCCATAACTCGATATCTCGACATCATATCGATTCGAACAAATGTCAGTGCCCTTGTGCTTTCACGCCGACGCAGGCACTCCGTTTTTGACCGCGAGCCAGCTTGGACGCGAAGTAATGTCGTGGTACCAGCGAGCAACGTTGGGACGAGCAGCCTCGTTGGTGAGAAGGTCGCTCTTGAGCAAGTTGGTCAACATGTCGGCGTACGGGATGTGGTAGAGGTCGGCGAGAGTGATCGACTGGAAGCGCAATCAGGAGACGCGGAGGAATATTTAAGAAACTCACATCTCCTGCAAGGTATTTGGTTTTGCCGAGAATTTGGTCATACGCATCGAGTTTTGCTGCAAGTTCGCTTGTGAGACGAGCGACTTCCGCAGGGTCCGTCTTGCCGCCTTTGAATCTACGAAATATTAGTGACAGCTCCATAAACTATCCTGTACTTCTGTACGGTTTGAAGGCAGCCTCGTATGCGAGGAGTTCCGCAGGAAGAAACTGGGTCGCTTCCATGGACAATGCACACTCGAATCGTCCCATTTCCTTCAAGTCACCGTTTGGAATAAGTCCCATTGTGCCCTGGTCGCGGTACTTTTCCGCAATATAGCGTCCGATGGCGCGCGATTCTGTTGATACAATGTAAGGTGTTATAGACACGCAGTGAGCCACCTGGCACCGTAAAGGAAGTATCCGTCGTCTTCGAGCACAGGGATTTGTCCGAAGGGTTGCATTGTAGCCTTGTACTCGGCTGATTTGCTGGCCGCGCCGACGACTGGGACAAGCTCGAAGTGCGCGGCTTTCTCGAAAAGGATAGTAGCTACCCGCTTGGTGCAGGTCGACCGAGCATCCTACACATCGCGTCAGCCCAAGTTATAGTGATGAAATGACCAACTCCGTGAAGTTTGAGCATCGGTGTTTCGTTTGGTGTGGTGGTGGTAGTAGTTACTAGCGGTGGTTTTCCGAGTCGTGTCAAATTGGAGATGAATTCGAAATAACTGTGCCGTTGTTTGAGAGGTGATAAGTGCATGCTGGCGCCAGGAATGGAAGAGGGACGGCAACTCCATAGGAAATCAGGGATGTGAGATGGCGATAGAAGAAGATGGAAAACGGCGTTGATGAAAATGGAAACGTTGTGACAGTGTGACGACTCACGAGCGTGTGGCCAACAGGAAAGGCATGTTGGTGCTGTGTGCAATTCTTCTTTCGCACCCATGGCTCACCTCTTCCCAGCCCTCTGGGCTATCGCCGGCATCTTTCTTGCGGTCTACCGCATCGTCAAGCGGCGGAGAATCCTCCGCCTCCGTGGTCCACCCTCTCCCAGTTTCGTCTTCGGCAACACGCAAGAAATTGCCGCAGCAGCTGACCCTGCAGAGTTATACGACCTATGGGCGACGACCTATGGCTCAGTATATCGAGCTCATGGTCCCATGGGCTCCGACCGTCTCGTCATTTGCGACCCCAAGGCTCTGGCACATCTTCTTGCACTCGATACCTGGAAATATTCACATCCCCCGCTCGCCCTCTTGCAAATTGGGATGCTGGTCAGTTTCCGCTCATGCTGCAGACGCAAATATGCTCATATATTCTCCCATTCCCCTCAGACCGGCCCCGGGAATCTCCTTTCCACCTTCGGAGAATCGCACACCAAACAACGGAAAATACTGAATCCATTGTTTGCTCCCGTAGCTCTGAAGAAATATGCGTCGGTCATGTATGATGTCGCATATAAGGTAGACTTTTCCCCAAGCTTCCACTGTATCCTCAAGAATGATTTTGCTCTGTAGGTAATTACGGCCTGGGAGACTCAGCTGCAGACCAGCTCAGCCGACGAAATCATACCGGATGTTTCGGAATGGCAAGCATTTTTTCTTCTTTTCCCATCGTACCTACTAACGCTCTAACGCAACAGGATAAACAACCTATCGTACGCTCCCCCTCTTTTTCGCTCTCACCTCGTCGCTCGAAACCAGTACTGAGCCAAGAATTCCCAGATTCGACATCATTGGGCTCGCCGCTTTCTCGACCGACTTCAGGTCTCTCGATGGAGAACAGTCCTCCGTGGCAACCGCCCTCACTGCCGTCGGACATGCTAAACCATCGCCAGTTGCGGCGAAGATTTTTCTTCTCTCGCAAGCCTTCCCAATTCTGTTCAGGCTTCCTCTGCCACGCAGCAAGCTCGTGGAAAACCTTTCGCAAGCGATGGATGGGGTAGTTGATACTCTCATCAACGCCGCAAGATCTGGCAAGCTCGCATATGAACAACTTGGATCAGCGCTGGGCGTTTTGCGTAAGCACCTTGGCCACAAATTCTTTTTTTCAACAACGCCATCGTCTAGTGTCAACAAAGGAGTTGTCGGACGAACAGATGCGGATACATGTGTGTATTTTCTCGTCTATGCATGACGACTCACCTAGCGTCGTCCAGGCGAAATCAATACTGCTATCAGGCTTCGCGACGACTGCGAGTACGTTTTGGCTGTTACGTCGTTTCACCTCATTGATCATGATGCCATATAGGCGGTATCAAGGTTATCGTTTGAATATTGACTTTTGACTTGCTGACTGATCTATTTTAGTGGGCTCTCGTCGAGCTGGCGACGCATCCGCACGCGCAAAATCGTCTCCGCAAGGAGCTTATGGCTTTCACAACGACCGACCCATCGTACGAGGATCTCACCTCTCTCGCACTGCCCTATCTCGACGCTGTGGTCCGTGAAGCCCTTAGGCTCCACCCCATCCTCAGTGAATCGCCCCGTGTTGTCCGTCGATCCATTTGACATATTCTCATCTCAAACTGAGTGCGATATAGGCTTTAGAAGACGATCTTCTTCCACTTTCTGCACCAATTCGAACGGTTGCGGGCGACCGTATTGACATGGTCCCAGTTCGAAAAGGCACTATTCTCACTGTCTCGCTGTACTATACCAACACGGCCAAGTCTATCTGGGGCGACGATGCCGCCGAGTTCAAGCCCGAACGGTGGCTGGACGGTGACCGGATTCCGGACTCTGCAAAGCGGTATCCAGGCTACCACCACACGATGGTCTTTTTGGACGGGCCGCGGACGTGTTTAGGCAAGGGTTTTGCCCTTGCTGAGATTAAGGCATGTCAAAGACTCGTATGTAGGACATTGCTGACTATGTGGCAAGATTGTGTTGTCGTTGTTTATCCGCAAGTTCGTTTTCGCGCCGCGCGATGGCCCGCAAACCCAGTATGAGCGCGCGATGTTCCTTGGGCCACATCCAAAGGTTGCTGGTGAAATAGGGGGTCGCTTGCCCATACGAGTGACCCGGGTGGAGAGCTAGTTACGGCGGGTTCATTATCAGACAGTATATCTTGTTTACTTGTTGCCACACCGTTATGCATGATCTAGCTTACTCTATAGCCCTAAAATACATTTCTTGTCCAATCACGTGTCAGCAATAAATTAATAATCTCACCCCGAGGAATTGGAACAAAACTGGAGGATTTTTTTAAATTTTAATTAAGGTAATAATGACTTCAAAAAGGGACGCCTTTATTGGTTGGGAAAAATGGATTCAAAAAGACACAATAAGTAGAAAAGCAATCTTATCAGAAAATGGGATCAACATTGTCATACAAAAAAGCCTCTTATGATCTTCCATTTTCCCACATATGCACCCTTTTTCTGCTACAATCTGAGAAGCATTTTTCTGGTTAGATTTCCTTCCTATCTAGTTGACATTGTTTAAACCTTTTTTTTTTTGTAATCAATAAAAGTCACTATTTTCAACCATTATTACCTTCATTCAATTTTAAAAAAATCCTCTAGGTTTATTCTGAGTTGTCGGGGTGTCTGTAGATATCATGCCAGTGGTGTGATTTCTCAAATATACATATTAAGTACATAATGAAAAGCTGCTCAGGCAACATGATGTGCTTGAAGTAATAAGAGTTGCCCTTAACAAGAATCCAATGCCTTACTGGCAATAACAACCACTCATAAAAGAAGCAAAAGTCAGGTGCAGACTTTTTGGTAGTTTGCAATAAATTCTGATAACTTAAATATTTTGGCATATCCCACATTTTTACTGTCAGAAATTGGCACTTATTAACCCTTTGATGGGGTGGCCCACACCTGTACCTGGCACCTGCTGATAGCCTGGGCCCGTGACAGCGGGCTTTTGCTAGTGGGCCGTGGGAAGGCCCGTGCACTCATGATGGTGGCCGATGACCTCTGATGAGACCATCAACGGTTGTTGCCGTTGGGTTACTGCCCAATGATGACATGCTGGCTCCTTGGAGTTGGCGCCTCGGTGTCATTGGGCCTCCGATCTTGATGATGTGCTTGCATCGTGCTTATCAGCTGACACAAACCAAAAGAAAGAAAGTGCGAGGGTTCCGACTAAGGTTCGGACCAGCACGCAGCAAAGACGATGGCGGGAGTGGAGGCTGATGAAACTAGATAGAAACTGCAGAGAGAATGATCTGAGTTGTAAGGAAATAGCTACAGGTTTATATACTACAGTATAGGCACAAATCCCGCACTTGGAGACTGTTCAGCTGGAACCCCACATACAATGCACAAGTGAAGGGATATATCCCAAGGGTACAATGCACAAGTTATGGGTTATAACCCAGGGGAATTTTAAGAAATATTACTTTATTTTATTTTATTCTTTGTTTGAGCTGTTTGGTATGATATCAGTGATGGGATTGATGTCCTTAAGTAAATCTAACCTTTGTTGAATCAGTTTTGAAAGAGATCAATTGTTTTGATGATCACATGATGCTGCATCACTCCTTCTCTAGTTATTATTGATCTCTATTCCCTACTCTCCTAAGAGCCCAATATTACATCACGGGTCATCGGCCTGAAGAAAAGGTAATTTATAATAACATATATGGTGTCACATTAGCCACATTATGCTTTTATAGTATATTTTGGTATATAACCCACCACTTGTGCATTGTCCCTTTGGGTTATAACCCACAACTTGTGCATTGCATGTGCTGAAACATGTGGACTATTCCAGGACCGCCCCCGATGAGTCCGGGAGGCAGGGTCGCGTCGCTGTAAAGCATCTAGACGCGTTTGATGCGGTGATGGGCCGGGAGGCTGACATAGGTCATATTTGTCGATTATTTGATCCGCCACGGAATGGCGGTTTTGGTGCTCAGCGGAGCTAGAGGCTCAACATTGACAACCGGGGACCGGTGTGCTAAGTGGCTGGGCCCAGCGGGCCATACTATGGGCCAGCAAGTTCAGGGCACTAAGCCCGCACCTGTACCTGCTAGTAATGGTCAAGTCTGGTTTAGTCCGGTTCTTGGCCTATTTTTGCTGAACACTAGACTGCCGGTTTGGTTCAAAACCCGGATTTAGCAAACCTAAACACTAAACCCCAGTTCGAACCGGCCTTTTTAGGGCAAAAGAAAACGCCAAACCTGGCCAAACCCAAGCTCTAGTTCGGTTCGGAAAGGGCTTTGGCAGAATGTGGACACCGAACTTCAGTTCAGTCCGGTTAAGTTTGTGTTTAGACCGAATATTTGAGCCCAACACAGCCATCACTAGTACCTGCAGAGGCCCATCCTCGCAGCCCGTCCTGCGGGTCATGCAGCCCATGATAATCACTACGTGCAATCACATGCAAGATGCAGACACCATGCATCTGTGATTCCTGATATTGCTAACATTTACCAAGCCTATTATAAATAGAATTTCAGTCTCTTATACATGCTGTATACACATTGGGAATTTCCCTCCTGACTCGCCTGCTAGCTTGGGATGCAGACCAAGAAACATTGCTGTGTCATACTTTGTATCTTCACCATCCCGTGGAATAAGGATAAACTTGCGGATCAATAAAGATAGGACAATCTAGTTGTATATCAATCACATCAAAGGTGAATCCGGATACATAAAGGGGTGTAACTCACTTTCATTTCAAGTAATGCAAATCCCTTTCCAAGACATGTTCGAGGACCATCCAGAAAAGATAGTGTATGATGGTACCCTGAGTATAGCTTTGCTGTTGCAGGGAGCTTATTTCCCTGAAGCCATCTTTCAGGCTTGAACTCTATTGCATCAGTACCCCAAATTGATGTTGCCTTATTAATGTAGTGCACTGGCACATTGAGAATTGTGCCTTTAGGAATATAGATATGATTTGCCTTGCCTCCCAGGGCATTTGGGAGTGAATCATGCAAAGGAATCATATCATCTTCGAGAGCCTACTTGAAGATATGAGATATTCAACTAAGAAGAAGATAAGGACTTGCTAGACGATATGCATTGTCAATAATTGGATGGAGCCTAAGTGACTCAGTGACAACTGCATTGAGATAGGGCAGTGCATTTGTCATAAGGTCTGCATAGGTAGGGTCCTTGTCAGAAAATTGTGCTAATAACTCTGATCTAAGTTTGTCTTGCTTGCTTGGATGCATTGACAGCTCCAAAAGAGCCCACTAGTTAGTGAAGTTATTAGTGCTAAGTTCTGTCCTGTTAATATGGAAGATCCACAGACCTTGATACTACCTAAAACAGGTCATAAACTATTGAACATAATAAGGAGGAAGGAATTACTTGAAGTTGTTGCAAATCCTGCAAGTATAATTGACTTTGCCTTGGAAAGTTTTAAATATACAATAAATCAATAATAAAACTGCATACATGCACACTGATTTGATTTGCTGGAATTTGGTTTGAATTAACTAGATATATGTTCCCAAATCAGCAATATAAAGAAAGTTGTAACACTTACATAATATTTCCAATGCTGAGCTATGAGACTCCACATGACTCATCGTAATGCTAGTAGTAGCATCCTTGACCACTTTGGTAGTCTGGTAGAGAAGGTTTTCTATAACACCATCAATGGCATCTGAAAGGTTGGAAACAAGCTTGTTGCGTGGTATTGGGATATTAAGCAAGACAGGATATGCCTGAGATAATAGTAGAATTTTTTCCACTATAGCAGATGCCTTGACAAGGCCAATCTTGGTGAGAGCATGTAAGATAGGTGATTGGACACCCTCTAATGCTTTAAAATCTGTAGAGAAGACAGTAAGTCCAATGATGTCAAATCTATAAGAAATATTTGTGTTTCATCATAGGAAGGCCGAATAAAATAGTTACGATACATAATCCAGCCTAGTAACATGATTAGTATGATGAGATATAATATTATTGGTGGGTACTTACCATTCAGAGATATCCACAATAGTCTCTGTTTGCCTGCTCTCCTGTAATCTTGCCTCCCATGAATTGGTAAGCTTTTATTTAAGCCTGTAAATTGACATGGAATTTGATAGTTTGAATTTACCTTGTATGCACAATCATACATTGGTAAAGCATATTTTCTTAGAGATGCTGGATCAAAGACATGATTGAGTGTCTTTCTCTGTCTACCAAAGGTAGTAATCTAATTAGTAATATGAAATTTGTTGTCAACATGCTGCCACTTACTGACTGTGCAGTTTCCCTGTCAATGACAACAGGTTTCCAGGTCCAGTCTAACAAGGGGTTCAGATCAAGATAAGAGAGAGATAAAATATAAACCATCTTGATTAACTCCTTGAGTTGGAGTGTTGGAGGATGTGCATACTTCCAGGAGTCATGGGCAAACAGGTGAGCAATGGCCCGAGGATCACAAATAATAAGCTGTGTGCTCCCAAGTGGGCCATATATCTGGTATACAGGGCCATATATCTTCTGCCAATTATCCAATAAAATCTCTGAATGCTGGTGTGATTTGATCTCTTTGGTATGACCAAAAATAAAGGATGGTGAGGGTGGGCCTTGGAATGCAGATGGCAAATAACAGGAATAAATGAGCCAGCAGGATAAGATGATGAGGCTTATGGTGCCAACGATAACAACAAAATCGGACATTGGGGAATGAGTATTAAATGTTCCAGTCAAATATAAATACATGACAATGGAAATACAAGATACTTGATTGGTCAATCATCTGATACAGAAAGCTGTTGAGTGTGAGAGCGAATCTTAAATCTCTATCAAGTCTTGATCACCACCCGGTTGCATGCTGGCAGATGTGCATTTCTGATGAAGCCTAAAAGTAAACCTGGTGAGAACTTAAATGATCTACTATGCTTATGTGATGAATATTAATAGGGAACTGCTTTCGTAGACTTGGATCAGCCATACTATGGGTAATCTCTGCTCTTCACCTCCAACCCCGGGCCCAAGAGAGGCTATTCAGGACTTCCTGAAGGGCATTTCTCAATCATTTCCCCAACCAACTAAAATCAACAAGGCATTTTATGCAGATTGTCATGCAGCTGCTCTACAGCGAGGCTGGCCAAAAGAAACAGCAGATCAGTACCTTCCAGGTGGAGTAGCTATGGGCTGGATTGGCTACAGTCACCTTCCAGAACCCTCTACTCGCATCTTAATTGCAATCTACACAGCATGTGGCATATACCTTGATGATGTTTTCCAGGAGAATGTTGAACTCGCCACTCAGTTCAATTATCAGTTCCTCCAACATGCCCCCCAGTCTGACCCAGTTCTTGACTGTTTTGCTCAAGTTTTACTGGAGCTTGCAGATCATTTTGAACCAATGGTCTGGAGTATCATAGTAACCTCAACTTTGAATGCTGTGGCTGCTCTCACGTTAGAGTATGTATACATTTTTTTTTCATATAAAGTTTCAATTAACTAATTTCAATCTTAGGAACAAGACAAAGGGAATGACTGTAGGCATACCAGATTACAAAAACTTTGGTTTTTTCTGATGAAACTTGAATATAGATAAGTCACAGAGCCTTGGGCTATCCTACATTTAGCCGTGTTATGTCTGGTGCTTCTGAGGCCTACTCATTGTTCATTTTCCCAGCACATTCTTCATTGCCAGCATTCATTCAGACAATGCAGCAAATTATGGTTTTCATTAACAATGGAAAGTCAGTACAACTCTCAATTGTTCAATTTTTTTTCAACTGATGTCGTTTCTAAGTGATATTCTTTCATTTTATAAAGAGTCTTCCGATGGAGAAACAGTCAATCGGGTATCATTTTTATCCCAACAGAGCGGAAAATCTCCACAAGTTATTTTATCTGAGCTGGTGGATGAAACAATTATTGCACACAACAATATCTTGGACATTCTCCAACCACACTACAAGGAACTTGCAGCTTTTCAGTCTTTTGTTGTGGGCTACATTGGATTCCATGCATCGGCGAGTAGATATCGACTGAATGAGCTGAACCTATCATGAGGGATACTTATGATCAATTGTATTTAAAAATATTAACCAACTTGGAAACAGAGGTATAGTTACTATGGTTCACATTTTTGCTACAATTTCATCCAAGTCACTGCTCTGTAGGCTATCCTCTATCTACCAGTCTAAAATTAATATTCATGAGTTGCTTTGAAATTCAAATTTATCTCTCTGATAGCTAGTATAGTCTGAGCACAAGTCACGTTTCAAGTTCCCCGACTCTGTGTGTCTGCGTCTGTAAGTATGGTTTCACCTGTGGATCAGGAAGCTGATAATTTGAGCTATGTTGGCCTCCTTCGGCCTCCTTCGAGTTACCAGATATCAAATATATTACTGCCACATGTTCCTAACCTGACAGAACAGTTTCCGCAACATAGGTATCGGATTCGAGTTCATCATTGAATGCCGTCGACGTCTGCAATGGTTCAATTCCATCAGCATTTTCGATCTCATCAGTGCCTGGGCCGGGTGGCGTGGGGATTGCAGCTCAGGCTCGCGCATCTAGATCTGGACATTCCATCCCAACTTCGAGGGGCTGCCCGGCCTGCCCGAGTCATTGCCTCATGCAAGGACAGTTCTGTTCTGGCTTCAATCGGAAGACATACACATGATGTGACCATTGAGAACAAGCAGCACACAAGTAAGACTACTCCGCGTGGGAGACATGGGCCATCCGTTATAATCTTGCTGTGAGTTCCCGGTGAAGGCATCGAATATGGGCTCCTTCGTGACACTGGCCATTTACGGCCTAGGAGCGTATTGTCTTCGCCTTCTATATTTGCTCTATTGCTCTGCTAGACGTCAGCCTGGTCTTCCTCCCGGTCCACCCACTTGGCCGTTTATCGGAAACATCCACATTTTCCCGACGGAGCAACTGCAATACAAGTTTACAGAATGGGGTGCGTTCGCGATCAAGACCGTTCACCGGGTACCCTGCCGGCTTACACTGAACATGGTTGATTAGCAAAAATATATGGCGACATATACAGCCTCAAGGTTATGCATCTCACCATTATCGTGCTCAACAGCCCCACTGCAGTCCGGGACATAATCGACAAACGCGGACCAATCTCATCAAGTCGTCCTGCCAGTGTGATGACGGAGATTGTAACTCCAGACAGCGTGAATCTAGGAAGCGCCCGCCATGGTATTTTCTGTTCTGTGTGTGCGCTTCTTGGCCGTGGCACTCATAATTAGCCAGCCAATAAAACGTGGAGGACCCTCCGCCGAGCCGCCGTTCACATGCTGCGACCCGAAAATATGGATGGCTTCATGCCATTGCAGCGCGCTGAGGCGGCTCAACTCATGTGGGAGCTCAGCACGAATCCAGATGTGCGTTCCATCATGATGCTGATTTCGTTCACCGCCCGTTGGCAAGACCTGATGTAATGGTCAGAGCTTCTACGAGGATATTTGCCGATTTACAACCTCTTTTTTTATGGTTGGTTTGCCCTATAACCATTGACGCGATGCCCATGCCAAAACTGCAGAGTGTCATCTATGGAGTTCGCGCGCCGAGAGCTACGTGTCACGCTGCGCGAGAGTTCAGTGAGACGCAAGAGGAGTTCGTGGCCTCAATGGAGGTTGGGAAAGCGCCACCAGTTGACGTCTTTCCCGTGCTTAACTGGGTGCCACGACGTTTTGCCAACTGGAAACGTCGCGCATATAGGCTGAGGACACGACAAGAGGCGCTGTTCTCATATTTACAGGACATTGTAGCCGCACGCATCGCCCGCGGAGCCCACAACGGCGCGTTCATGGAAGAGGCCAAATCACGAGCCGATGAGTGGGGACTAACACCCCGTTTATTACTGTAAGTGTTCGTGTACAGGTCACTGAATAAATGCTCACCTGCTGCGTCCCAGACATCTCGGCGGCGCTCTCCTGGAAGGGTCGGACACTACCGCCAGCGTGGTCCAAGGTTTTGTGTTGATACTGAGCGCTTATCCCGCAGTCCAGAAGTATGCCCATCAGGAAATGGACGCGGTGGTAGGAATAGATGAGCCCCCCAAGTTTGACGACCTTCAGCGACTGCCATACATGCGAGCGATCCTGGACGAAGTATGTCATCAAATGGCTATGAAGAGTTGGCTGTTGACCTATGGTGTTCAGTATCTTCGGTTCAGACCAATAGCGCCGCTGACGCTTCCCCATGCAATGGCGGAGGATGATATGGTAATAACTTTTTGTTGCCTGTGAACCAATGACTAAATGTGATCAGTACAACGGAATGCTCTTCCCGACAGATGCTATAATATTCACTAACATGTGTAAGCCTAAGCTTCATGTTGATTTCCAGAGGCCTGCGGCCGACAAGTTTCTAGGGGCGATAACGCACGATGAGAGGTATTTCGATGAGCCAGACAAATTCATACCCGAGCGTTTTATGCATGATCAATTTGGTATCCGCCCTGGCGTTCAAGATGATCCCGCGCGCCGTGAAAATCTCATGTTCGGTGGGGGGCGCCGCATATGTCCCGGAGCATATACGGCTCGAATGCTTCTGGTGAGTCTCACGTTGTAATCCTGGATTACGATTAAATCTAGACAGGAGATAAAGTATAGTAGTCTCACGCGCCGCATAGCATCGATTGACCATCGAGTAGCCTGGCAAATTTCATCTGGGCTTTCGAGTTCAGCCCGGGCCTTGACCCTTGCTCCGGACAGGCCATACCGCCGGACTTGTGGAACTATAAGAATGGTATCAGCCTGGCACCGGAAAAGTTTCGGGCGACAATTACCGTCCGATCGCCGGAGAAGAAGGAGATTATTCGGCGCCATTTTGTCGAGCAGTCACCCATTTTACAGCCCTTTGAGCAGGACCTACATCCAGAGGATCTTGACTTTGTTCGTCATACTCGTAAATAGTAGGACACCGAACCAGGCGTAATTGTCGCGTACAAATGTTCAAGTTGATTCACAAGGGACCATATTGGTGAAGATGGTGGAGAGCAAAACAGTGAATGGCCAGCCTGGCCGCCTGAGTAGAAGTCAAGACCTGATAACTTGAATTCGAAGTAAGGAGTAGTGCTCACTAGTGTAAAGTAGCAAGCCTGCGTCGCCGCAGTAGTACCAGTACTTTGCACTACTATAGATATATCAAGTGTCCGAGTCGCTGGCGCAGAGAAAAGTTAGCCTTGAAGGGGGGAGAAAGTGACGCGTCAGCGGTCACCGTGAATGTCATCACAATTGAGTCATCATGATCACGATACTTCTCAGCGTCTCTGATGACTCGGTCCGTGAATCGGGATACGACCTATGTGTGTGTGTGCGTCGGAGCCATTAATGCTTTCTGCTACATAAACGAATCTAGATCTGGCTCAGGAACCTCGTAACTTTCCGTTAGGCTCGCATCTCAGACCGGACTCCAAAAGTCGACCTTTTCTTTCCGCCACGTGTGGTGTGCCGTGCTCCGAGTCCGAGTATCACTAGCATATAATGGAAGCAAAATTAAACACACCGTGACGTGGGAAGGTCAAGGACGCAGATGTGCGGCGCAGACCATACCAGGGCTGTGCCGCAACACTTCTTCCGTTCCAACTCCATGCCCTACAGCTACCTTTACCCCCTCCTCTGCGCTTTCGCCTTGTTCACATTACACCGCATCGTCAAGCGGCTCAGAGGCCCACGGCTCCATGGTCCCCCCAGTTCCAGCTTCATCTTCGGGAACACCAAAGAAATTGCGGACGCGGTTGACCCTGCAGAACTTTACGACCATTGGTAGGGCTCCAACCTTTTTGTTTCCGTTTGTGGGTTGAGACAAATCAAACAGAAAGGGTTCAACAAACGTTTTAAAACATTTTAAATAGTTTTAATACAGTTTAAAAATCATCAATATATTTGTGTCTTCCTTATATGTAGAAAATGACAGAAATGTGATATAATTATTATGTTGCTATGGCTGCAGGATGATAAATTATTCTAGGATAGTATTTCCATGGTCTAGAGACATGAAATCACTGTGAAATTCCTTATAATAGACAATCATCAGTATTAATTCAGACATGCCGACTAATGCCATTGATATCTCTATTCCTAAAACCATATTCAGGTGAATCATTACTGAAACTAAGAATAGTTTCTTGAATTCAGAGAGCAGGTAAATTGCTAATGACTAAGTCATTAACTTTTGTTATAGTATAAATGTCTAATATATGTACTTATTGCATACAACTACCAAATGGGACAATTTAAGAGGGAACACAGGATATCTATACATATACATTGGATATTTTCTAATCATATTATTATGATTATTATTTAGTATTGAGTAACCTTTTAAACCTTTTGTTTTCTTTTATTTACCATTTGCTCAACCCTACAAATAAAACGGAAATAAAAAGGGTTAAAACCGTTTATAAAGTTTGTCAAACGGAAAGTGTTGGAGCCTTAACCATTGGGCGACCACTTACGGGCCGGTCTATCGTATCCATGGCCCTATGGGAACCGAACGCCTCGTCATTTGCGACCACAAAGCTCTTTCTCATCTCCTCGCTCTCGACTCGTGGAAGTATTCACACCCCCCACTGGCGCTATTGCAAATCGGGATGATGGTGCGCTATTTTCAGTTGTCTCCTTAATCACCGGTCGCTACCATTGTTGACTTCTGTAACAGACTGGGCCGGGTAATGTGCTGTCGACGTTGGGAGAGTCGCACAGTCGGTGAGTCTTGATTGAAAGCAACTTCGACTTTTTCCGACCCACTGAGCTAATCATGCATAAGATTACGGAAAATCCTGAATCCTTTGTTTTCTCCGGAAGCTATCAAGGAATATGTGCCGTTCATGTACGACTCGGCATATAAGGAAGGTCATTTCTCGCCGCGTTGTCCAAACGATGAGATAGCTTTAGGTGTTTGCAGCCTGGGAGACGGAGCTCCAAGGGAGTTTGACGAACGAGATCATTCCAGACGTCTCGGAATGGCGAGTTTTCGAAAATTTGCCATCTTCTTCTACTAGTACTCATTTTTTATTACTACAGGATAAGCAACTTGTCGTATGTTCTACGACGGTCTCGCTATAACTATGGATTAACAATCGACAGATTCGACGTAATTGGGCTTGCTGCTTTCTCGACAGACTTCAAATCCTTGGATGGCGCCAAGTCTTCGGTCGCAACAGCTCTCGCTGCGCTGGGACATGCCAAACCATCTCCGATCGCGGCAAAGATTTTGCTTCTTGCACAAGCTTTCCCATTTCTCTCTAAGCTTCCTCTTCCGCGCAGTAAACTGATCGAAGATCTTTCGGCCTCCATGGATGCAGTCGTCGATAGACTCATGAACGGTGCGATATCTGGCAACGACATGGAAAATGAGCAACCTGGGTCTGCGTTGGCTACTTTACGTAGGTTTATCTGTTCGTGGGTCTGGCCGCGTAACCACGCCAAGCAGTTTCGACCAAGGAACTATCCGACGAGCAGATACGAGTTCATGTGCGAGTTTGTCTGTGATGACTAGACTCAGACTCATCAGTCATTTAGGCCAAATCACTCCTTCTATTGGGGTTTGCAACAACTGCCAGTACGTGTAGGATGCCTTTATATTCTCCTCATTGAACCCGTTGTCGGTACAGGCGGCATCAAGGTTTGCGTCGGATTGGAAATGATCCACTATGTGGAGCTGATACAGCCTCTGCAGTGGGCTTTGGTTGAACTCGCAATGCGCCCCCAAGCTCAAGATCGCCTCCGCAAGGAGCTCATGACCTTCGCCACAACTGACCCGTCCTATGAAGACCTGACATCGCTTGCACTCCCATACCTTGATGCCGTCGTCCGCGAGGCTCTAAGACTCCATCCAATCCTTGGTGACTCCCCTCGTATCGTGGGTCCCCAATTGGACTTTCTTGTTCCAAGGATCCAAGCTGATCGTTGTGGGCAGGCCTTGGAAGACGATATACTCCCTCTTGCTTCACCCATTCGAACGGCTTCCGGCGACCTGATCGACAGTCTTCCTATCCGAAAAGGCACATCAGTCACTGTCTCATTGTATTACACCAACAAGGCAAAATCAATCTGGGGCAACGACGCCGCCGAGTTCAAGCCCGAACGATGGTTGGATGGCGGCCATATACCAGACACTGCGACGCAGTATCCAGGCTTCCACCACACCATGGTCTTTTCCGATGGTCCTCGAGCGTGCTTGGGCAAGGGGTTTGCTCTGGCCGAGATCAAGGTGCGAAACATGGTCTGGTGCTGGATTCCGTGCTGACCTGCGCGCAGATTGTGTTATCGCTGCTCGTCCGCAAATTCATTTTTTCGCCTCGGGACGGGAAACATACCCAATATGAGAAGGCAATGTTTGGTCCCCATCCAAAGGTCGCTGGTGAGCCTGGTGGTCGGTTACCTATACGTGTCACACGAGTAGAGGCGTAGTCATGATTGACTGTAATACGTAGGTGCATGAAAGTCAGAATATGTCGATGTCTGTGGCCCAATCAAAATTTTCATCCGAAGGGGCTTGCGATCAGCTTTCACGCAATGGTCTCAAGTTGCTTAAATTCAATGCAGGTATCATCACTGACTCCAAGTTATTTCACCTAAGTATGTCAGTTTTGTCCCTCATCGCATTAATACTGACGCCCAGGCCAATGCGCACGATAATCAGCGTGGGGGCAATAGCCTGAAGGATACAACAGTTCAAGTGGACGAAAGGACTTGGGGGAAACAAACCACGAGATGGTATACTACTGCAAAGCAGCTCAGGATCATTGTAGTGGGTGTCTGCGGGGTCAACCAGCCGACGACGCCGATGAGGATAGCCGCAGGGTAGATCGAGCCACTTTCAAGTCTACCGCTGGTCAGTTGTGATTCAAGGCTTATGGGCATACACTTAGTACAGAATAGCCACGAGGTCCGAATAGAAGGTTGTAAGCGCGGATCTGCTTCGCAGGTCGCTGTTGATTTTGCGTGCAATCCACCATATTCTTCCAGCTAAGCAGATCGGTGAGTAGGTATAGAACAGTGTCAGTGGAGTACCCGTTAATGCGGACAGTAAAAGATTGGTGAAGACGGTAAGAGCCATGCAGGAAACAATCACACTTCTGTGCGCGGAGGCGGAGAGAGGGAGCAGTGTGATCAGATAGTTCACTATTTATGTGGTTAGAAAAAGACCATCGCTCGAAGATGTCACACTTTCCAGCTACTGCACTGTAAGCAAGTGAGGGAACAATCATAATCTTCCGCCGATGATTCCAGATTACATAGCAGCGATGGATCTTGAGTCATTCGGCTTGAGCCACTTGCCAAAGGGAGAGGTCAACCCACAAGAATAGTATCTGCGATAAAACTCCACTGGCTGAGCTTAGACAATATGTGAAAGTAGGAGCACATACTTCGCAACGGCGAACCGGACCTTGATGAATGTCGCAAAACCGTGCACTCTTGACGGATCTCCTGGAGCGGCGAGAGCAGGGAAGGGGTTGTCCAGAGAGAACACCTCGTATATAGCAGTTGCAGCGGTATCGGTCGTAAACGCCCATGTCCACGCGATGATAATGTGTAATGTAGATAACAGAAACAGGGCACATATTGCAGGGAAGTGCCACGACACTTTGGAAGTTGCACGTTGTCGAGAGAGGAGGATGTGAAATGCTTGACCCAAGAGAATAGCATAAATCCCTAAATTCCACGATTTGAGCTGTTGTGCACTGGTAATCGGACCGGCATACATACCGTAGCAAGAAGAGTCCATTACCAATGGGAAATACTGCACAAAATGGCTGGTCGGTGGCTCCTGGGGAGACCAATCGACCGGAGACATGCTCGACACTATACTTTGCCTGGGACACTAGAGGGGGGGAAACGTCCAGGTACAACAGCCACAGTATTATAAGTACTGTCAAATGTATATCAGCGCCTTGATATCTGCTTTTGCAGACATCACCTGCCAAAACTTGCGATCGGGAGTTTGTTGGACAGTGCAATACGGACGACCAATAGGATTTGTCGGGGACCGGCCAACTTCAACTTGATGGAGCGAATCCTTGTCTCATGAACAACACTCTTGAAGCAGATTACAGCCTTGCACTATTGCATATCCCAGTGAGGATGCCTTCTTACGAGGCAGGTAGATGGATAATTATAAACGCACTTAGTGAAGACAACGGAATTGCATGTGCCACTTCGTATTTCCCCGAAATACTTAATGCCCACCAAATCCCGAGAGAAGATGCGCGGAGAATCTATCTTGAGCTTGGGTATGAGTGATGAAGGCGCTAGCACTCAATACATCCGTGAGACATCGACGCGGTAAGGCAACTAAAGGACTTCGGGAGCGTGCGCAACGAGCATGAAGAATGGGAATCCTCTTCACGCTGCCAGCGAGCATTTCCGGGGCAGGTGGAATGGGAATAAGATTTTGGGCATTTGTTTTCTCCTAATGACATTTGTAGGCCATGCATATCGCTGGGGTATAACTAGCGCAGGCCGAAGCGGAAAATCAGATGTTGTTGTCTAAAACTGCAAGCTCGTAAGCATAAACGCGAATGCCGAGCTAAGCAACGCACCTTTCCCCAACTCCAATCGTTTTCTAAAATCCCAGGCTACCAAGCGTCGACGGATACATTGGAATTCGAAGTCCTGCTCGTATCGGACGACGGATATCGCCAGCGGAAGAGACAGTCTAGCCGGAAGTTTGAGTGTCGTTGCGAACGATAAGCGACACGCGCACAGTCGTTGCTAACGAAACTTTGTTCTTCGCTGTCTCGCTGAGCTGGCCGCGTCCATGGTCGGGGTTAGAGGCGACCTGGGGCCAATATGACGGTGGGAGAAGTGCGTTCCGCGTTCCGCGTGCAAGGTGTGTGGTCGGGAAGAAGGACTGTCCGCTCGACTGAAGAAAGGCTTCAACTTTGGCTCAGGTTATGAAGGGGGAGGACATTGCACATGCGCCACGTCCGGTATACCCCACGGACTACTAAGCTCCGCAACGCCCCCCCCACTCGTAGTTCATCGCAGCAGAGAGTAGCTGCAGGCCGGAACGAAGATCGACATGAGGGTGAGGAAAGAAGAGTGTCACACATGAAGAGTGTCACACATGCCCCACGTTGTTCTTCCCCGCGAAGTCTTACCCCCGGGACCCCATGTCATTCGTCTCGTCCTGCGGCTCGTCTGCGATTATTGACAGGACGTCCATTACACACCCACTATGAAGGATAGCTTGTATATCAAGCTACAAATCAACGCCGCCCAAAATTCAAGTGATCTGATGATCTCGTTACCCATCCTTACAGACGACTTGGACGTGGGCAAGTGGGGGACAATGCTACTCCCGCGTGCGCCGGATAACGTGGGGTCCGTGCGCCGTGCTAGCCATTGCTCGCCAATCGAAGCACCCACTGGCATGCAAGGCCGATTGCGGTAACTTGCGCTTGGTCCCTCCAACAAAGCAGTTGGCGCTCGCTTTCGCTATAAAGCGGCTTTCTACTGAGCCACCACTGTACCACGCCCCCATCCCACCAACGACGTTTCGCGGCTGCTCGGCCCGGTTGCCTTTGTTGCCACTCGCCTCGTCCTCCACTCTCCTTACCCGACATCCCACAATGACTATCACACCCCAAACCGTCGTATTCGGCGTTTTCACAACCCTCGCTGTCCCGCTCACCATGCTGGGCTTCTATACCGCCAATAAAGTCTCCCCGCAGTTCCGGATGCCTGCGAAATGGTTGATGGCCTGGATTGGCTTGTCTTGCTTCAATGAAGCTGTCAACGTGTTCTCGTGGGCGGGGAATTTGCACTTCAGTAGTGCAGCGGCGGGGTTTTGTGAATTCTGTGAGTTGCTTTCTTCTCTGCTTGGCCCCTCCACTGGCACTCACTCCACGTTTCGTTTTAGCAATCCGGCTTCGTATGGCTGCTTGTGTCGGCATTCCTGCAGCACTCTTTGCCATTAGCCTCCGAGTACATGCTTATATCAGCGCCGTCGTCGCAGACGACCCAAAAGCGTACGAGAACAAAATTCTCGCCCGTCGCGGCGTCGAGTTCTTCATAGTCTTCGCGTTTCCCCCCATCTACATCCTCGCCGAGCTGCTCGACAGCACGCGCACGGACCGCTTCCGCCGCTTCGCCATCCTCGAGGGCGTTGGCTGTGTGAATGTCCCACACAACAGCGCCGGCAGCATCATCCTCGCGTACTACTCGCTCATCGTGGTCTGCCTCCCCGTTTTCGCCTTCGGGCTCGTCGCCTTTGCCCATTGGTTTTCGCACAGCAAGCTCCTCCGGACGGACTTGGCCCGCAACAGTCGCTCGTTTCTCATCCGCCTCATGCTCCTCGCCATCGTCATCCTGCCGCTCTCGCTCGCCTCGCTGTTCATCAGCGCACTCAACGTCCAAACACTGGACGACCTCCTGTTCACCGCCCAATCCCCCGTCGTCACGCCCCGCGGAATCACGCTCATCTCGCGGGACGCTTGGACCAGCGACTCCGGCCTCGTTTTGGCCATCGAGCTCGGGCGCTGGACCCAAGCCGGGGGGCCGGCCATCGCCATCATTGTGTTCTACCTCCTCGCCTTTGATGGCCGGTCGCGCCGCTTCTACGGCTTCGCCGGCCGGTGCTTCGCGCGCTGCCAGCTTAGTGCGATCGGGACCTACCAGCCAATCCAGGAGCCGCGCCTGCCCATGTCGCTGCGCCCCCCGCGCCCACATCGCGGACGGGGGCGCTATGGGAATGGCTCGAGCAGCGCCACGGAGATGGGGTGCATGACGTGTGTGACCGGCATGTGCATGGGTGGCGGGTGTTGACTAGGTTTTGTACAATTTTTTTTTGAAATGTTATCTGTGTATTTTGTACGACTGAAATTATCACTGTCTCAAAAATATGCCAGTGTGGGAAGCGGGTAAGGGTGGGAATTTGCTATCGGTGATACGAAGTATGAGGATTTAGATCCCGTAGCCTCAGGGTAGTAGGGAGGCTGTAAATTTAAGGCGTCTACGGACTACAGTTGAGCGAATCGGTAAATACGCTACATAATATATGAGTCCAGTTTGTAACGCGAAAGGAGAGAAACGAGTTTGTTCATGGTCGAAGTCCGTACGTGGTGCTATATAAAAGTGTCCAATATCTTGTGGGCTACTCAATGTGGTGTGGGTCCCCAGGGGGCGCTACTACTCATCATGGACGTCGGCGAGTTGTTTTCGGTCGATGGCCTGGCAGAATCGCGCGAGCTGAAGCGGCTCATGCTCATCGCATCCGAGTCGTTTTCAAGTTTGGAATCCGAGTCGTGCTGCCGCCCCGCCCGCCCCTCCTCGGCGCGCCCGAGCTCCGCGTCATCATCGGCGGAATCGTGGCCCGCACAGAACTTGAACTCGAAGCCCATGCAAGATGCTATGGCTGAAATGATACTGCCAAGTATGCATCCACCCAAGGAGACCACGGCGAGGATTATGAGCACCTGGAGGGTTTTGTCTGAGCTGAGGCTGGTTTAGCGCGGGCCCGTCCAGGCGGGAGGAGGATGGAGAGAGACGGCTCACATCTGCATGTGTTGGTACTGGTAGACGAGAAGACGAAATAAGTTGAGGTTGTCGAGGTCCGGCTCGGAGGATTAGACAGCAGTGTAGTGTTAGAGGATGGGGGAGCAGCCCTAGGCTTTAAGTATGCTTGATCATGAGTTATTCTGGATCCAAGTCAAAGATGGGCTCAGCGGACACTCTCAGGTACAGCGGCAACTGAGTTAAATCCGGGATGCTAGTAAGCACTACTGGTGAGAGTGATGGACCCGGAGCTCTTCATCACTGCCAGAGACACAGACTCGGAGATGTTCCATGAGAGAAGCCCTCCCAACTCGCTGTTAGTGTGGACTTAGCATCTTCGCGCGTTGGTGGACGGCCATCTAGCAGATATCACAGCCTATGCACGTCGAGTTAATCGTCGGAAGAATCGATCGAGACGTCCTGGCGTCGCGACGACGAGATGGGGCTGTCGTCCTCAGTTCCGGCTGATCAGAAGTGGCGCAGCCTTCAACTTTGACTGGACAGGCCGAGCAGAATCAGTTCGATTGCGGGGTCAAAGTTGGGTCCAAGCCTGAAGTGATGCCGTTGTCACGGTGACGCCTTCCATCGATCGTACCACCACTTCGCCCTGCCTTTCCTCCGCCCAGCAATAGGTCAGTCCGTGCTTCGCTTGTCCAGGAGGGAGTGCAGTCGGGAACGCGACGGTTGGGACAGAGAGCGCCATTCAGCATCCCGCTCTCTTCTTCTCGCCTCTCGATGCTGGCCATCGATAGCGATGCTGACGCGTCCCACAGTCTCCCCATTTTCTTCTCTGCCGCCCACAGTAGCTAGGCATGGCGCGTCTGGCTCGGTCCTTGGGTGAGTCCCCCCTCCTCGTTCTCGTACTCGCTCCCCAACCTACTCTGCACCGTCACCTTGCCTTATCCTGCGTTTTTTTCGCCCCCAGTTTTGCTGACTCCGTTTAAGGTACCTCCCATACCGCTGTAGAGCATGGTCAGACTTCTTCAGCACGGACGAGGTGCGTTTCCGACGTCTGCTGCGTTATTTTCATTCACCTCGTCAAACCAGGCCTGCCATCCCAGCCTGATTGACGACGCCTTCGCGTTCCAGTCAGACGACGACATGCGTGTCCCGTGGTTCTCTCCGCCGCCACGTCACCGCATCCGCCGACAAGGTGAGCACCTCCCTCCTTTCCCCCGGATGACGAGACATATGTATCACCACTCTACGAGTGTGCCACGCACACGATGTGTTTGACAACATGAAATCCTAGTTATCCTGACCCTTCTTCTCCCACTTTCCACTTTATTCACAGTCGCTGACATTCCGTCCAGGTGATATTAAATGTCGGCAGGCGTTGCATGTACTGGTGAGTACTGAAGACTTGTTCTCTGCTTTCCATGATGCTTTTACACCCATAAAATACAAGCGTCGCCGTTTTCGGCGGCGCTATGCGGATAATATCATTCTTTCCTGATCCTATTCGTCCTGCTCCTTCTTCTCTTATTCTAACATTCTTAACGCAGAATCCACTTTGCTTCGATGGAAAGATGGTTGTGCCCAAGTGAAACGTGCGTTGCTGGATACTCGAGAAAACTTGTTTTCGCTAATATTTTTTTCAAGCGTTTGCTTTCTTTGGGTTCTTATCGCTGTCCCACCGCAAGAGGAACATACATGCTTCTCCAAACACGCGTTCCACGATACCTCCACATCGTGCATCATACCTTCATCTCGTACATCTCTTGTCGAGCATCCCATCGCCGCTTTCACCCTAGTTGGACCAACGCCTCTCGATATCGAGGCAGGGACTTGCTTCAGCCGGAGCATTGTGTCCGTCAACTCCTTTCGGGGTCCCTAACGGTCGGCCTACCTACTAGACGCGTCCCCAATACGATTCTCCCTCGTTACAACGCATCCATGTATTAGCCCTACGGACTGGCCTTCACATATGTTATGCACGATTCTGGATATATCATACTCCACGGACAGGCTAGTAAGTAGTAGCACGATTACCTACATACAACAAACGTCTAGAGCTGAACAAGATCTTTTGTTTGCTGTCGCGCGTGTAGAGCGTGCGGTTCGTTGGCTTGCAGCACGGTGCTTGACAAACGTTCCACGGAGTTGGGAAGTCAGGCGGAAGAGTGGTTGGTCGGGAAACGTGAAACTTTGAAAGCAAGGGGGATGGATGAGCGTAATAATACCATTGAAGACCTTGAAGGGAGAAGACGATGCGCGTATCTTTCGAGTATGAGAACACAAGGGCGTGTTTGGCCAATGGTGGGTGTTTCTAGCAGGAGCCTATGCTGTTGCCCTTAAACCCTTTACAATGTAGGCAAAACCATATTCGGCAACGCTGGCACGGAATTCACTGCTTCTGCAATAGAAGACTCGGAGGGACGATCTTGTTCATGAAGACTGTTGGCGACCGGAATATCGAGGAGAGAAACTGGGGATTGGGTGCAGCTGGTCCTTGACGACCGCTGCACTTGCGTGTTGAGCTTTCTTCCACTGGCAGGCAGGAGCAAGGCGACTGACACAGAGAAAAGGTCGATAAACCGCATATTCAGAATAACGCCTTGGTTGGTTGGATAGAGCTGGAGTAGAAAGGAGATGTGCAGTGGACCAGTGATGTTTATTGCAAGAAGTAAAAGAAGCTCTGTGCGGCGTCAGTAAGCACGCTTGAAAATAGAGCAGACGTTGACACGCACGTCTTTTTGCTTGCTTTTTGCCTCTCACCCCCAGTTGGTCCCCCTTCGCTCATAACCAGTCCTTCCCCTCACATGCGCCTTCGTCTTGACAGCCTCTCATAGCTGCTCCGATTTGCACTGGTCTGCACTGGCCGCAGACAGCATCGAGTATAGTTGATGATGACAGCAAAATGAGAGATTCTTTCTGTGACGTTCTGCTCGTCGATCATGCATGCCACCACCGACCAAACCACTCGCAGCTCTCCCACATCGTGATCAGGCAGCCTCCGCGGAATGCTCTCAGGCATGACTTACCCCGGTTACAATCGGGATTTGAGCTACGCGATATACATCAACACTTCAAAAAAGGAAACCCTCCGACTTTCCGCCCGCCCTCCTCGCTATTTTGTCGCGATTTGTCCTGGGGATTTGACTATGAATGTGCCGCTGACGCGTCAGGCGAACCCCATCCGAAGCCGGGACGCTTGCGCGTTCTGCTCTCATGAGTTATATAAAGCCTGGGAGACGTTCCAGTCGAGCAGCTTCGAGAAATGCGGTCCTCATTCGCCCTATTCTATCTTGCCACTACCACCACCGCAAGCCCCATCATCCGGCTGTCCTATGGCTCTTTCCGTGGCTCATTTGAAGGCAATCTGTCGACTTACCTTGCTATCCCGTTCGCTGCACCTGCGTAAGTGCTCGTTCGCTCATATTTGTTGAATTTGCTCGCTAACTCGACGACAGAGTCAGATTCACCCTACCTTCCGCCCCTAAAGCATTCCCCGGCGTGAAAAACGCGACTTCGCCGGGCCCTGCGTGCCCCCAGCAGGCACTGACCCCCGGACCAGGCGGAGACTTGCCCAAATCGTACAACACTACCTCGGAAGATTGTGGGTGGCAGCCCGGGTATCCCTACAGCCTGAACTCGTCTCTTATGCATTGTAGGCCTCACATTGAGCGTTTTTGCTCCCCGCAATGTTACCACACAGGCAAAGCTTCCTGTATTCGTTGTATGTCATTCTACGTTCGCATTAGCCCTCGTCATTAACATTTGATTTCAGTGGATCTATGGAGGTACACTCTTTATCTTCGACTTCTCCCGGTGCTCACAGTGTTTTCAGGCGGCTTCGAGATCGGCAACTCCGCTGACCAGGATGTCCGCCCAACCGTGGAGCGCTCCATCCTTCGGAACCAACCCATCATCGTTGTTACGCCTAACTACCGTGTCACTGGTGAGCGCTGCTCTAGGCTCTGGACCACTCATGCGATCGAAACTATCAGCTTTCGGTTTCCTGGGCGGGAAAGAAGTCCAGCAGGCCGGCATCAGTAACCTCGGCTTGCGCGACCGTAAGTTGTTCAATACTACTCAAGCACCATATGTATGTATACTAATAATTGTAGAAATATTTGCTCTCAAATGGGTTCAAGAACACATTGCCGCGTTTGGAGGAGACCCGCGCCAGGTCGTCATGTTTGTCCACCTCATTTTTATTCTGTCAATATACGCTCAAGCAAGAATAGCGGCGGCCCCAGTGCAGGCGCCGTTTCGGTTGCGCTTCTTTTCCTCAACAACCGGCAGTTTTCACCATCCCAGCTGTTCCGTGGCGGCTTCATGGTGCGCACTACGAGATCTTCTGTCCCGTTACCTGCGATTACCAACACTGGATTTTTAGCTGTCTGGATCTCCGATCACGACGTTCCGCACCTCCGACGGCCAAAAAGAGTACGACAACCTCGTTTCGGAAAGTAACTGCACCCATGCACACAACACGCTTGACTGTCTGCGAAACGTCCCCGTTGACGCCCTCACCACGGTGATTAATCGGACACCAGACATCCTGGGGTATCAGAGCCTCCAAATCGTATGGCGCCCGACTATCGATGGGGATGTCATTGTCGAGGACCCGCTCATCTCTGTGGCAAAGGGGAATTACGCAAGGGCGCGTTAACTTGGCTGTACTTATTCTGTGCTGGTCCATGCTCACTGCAAACAGCTCCCATTTATCACAGGCGATGCGGACGATGAGGGGACGTAAGTGCACTTTTATCATTCTCTTTCAATTCATTGAACGATGCTTCGAATCTAGTATCTTTTCGTTTGGCAATTCTAATATAACGTGAGTATTTTTGCTCGATTTAGCCAAATTCGTATGACAGCCGTTGTAGGACAAATGCAGAGTTCATTGAGTACATTCATTCGAAGTCCGACAGTTATTACTCAGCCGACATTAGACTGACGGTGACACACAGTTATCTCCCAAAGGCAACCAGCGCACAAATTGCACAACTCGGTGAGCTTTATCCAGAAGACCCATCGCAGGTTTGCTTGCTTGTCTTCCCTGCTAAAAACTACAATAACTCTTGCACAGGGCTCGCCATTTGACACGGGAAATGCCTCCCAGTTGACGTTCGTATCTCTCGTTTCAATGTGTTCCAAAGGCTGATGTGTTTCTTTATCTATCATAGGCCAGAATTCAAGCGTCTCGCCGCCTTCCAGGGCGACTATTTCTTCATTGGCGCCCGCCGCTTCTTCCTGCAGCACGCTTCGCGCACGCAGCAAACATGGAGCTATTGTATGTCTTCTCCAAGTACACACACTCGATGCTGATGGCTGCAGTGAGCAAGCGCGGAAAGAACACAACCTTCCTCGGCGCATCCCACGGTAGCGACGTATTGCTGTGGCTCCCTACCACCAACACGACCGATTTCGTTTTGAGTGACGCGCTGAGTTCGTACTACCTCTATCTCTGCTGCGCTGTGTTGACTGGCAACTTAAGTCAATTTTATCAACACATTGAACCCGAACTGCCCTGCTGCCAGCGCGGACATTCCTGCCCCCGGCCGCGGACAGTGGTGGCCGACATGGACCAATGGGGCGCCCGTGCTACTCACACTGAGCGACCCTGACGCAGTGACTATCACGACGGAAGACTTCCGCGAGGAGCCGATTCAGTATTTGTACAATGTGTTGTTCGAAGAGGGCCGAAAGAGTATGAGGGATACCAACAGACTGTGTATTCCTGACATCCTGCAAGGCTGTAATTAAAGCTCTATACTAGTACTTAGCAGACTGGCAGTATACCAGCGGTGTCACGTGTCAGAAAGTGACAACAGGGATGGTGACATCATGGTCGGTTGGTCCTTTAAAAAAAAATTCTGTGGAAGCTTTTTAGCTAAAATTATGAGTCAAATTTGCCTTGGGGTAGGTTAAAAGTATTGTTTGGTGCACTATGTATGCATAATTAAGCATTGATAATCTCATAAGAGGTTTTTGTTCAGCATTTCATTACTAAATAGGAGATTGCATCAAATCAGGCCATATAGGGAACTTGGAGTGAGATTTAGAACACAAAGGAACTATTCTACAAGACGTATGTACTGTACTATTTTGATTAATTGTCCGCGGCATGTAACACATAACGCGAACTGTCCGCTGGACAAGGTGTCCGGATTACCATAAAAGGCAAGTCCGAAAATTGCCTTTTTAGGCCTGGATTTGATGGCAAATCGGATTTGAACATGTAACGGCAGCCGCAGGTGTCCACACCAGGACCGTGTGTAACATGTAATATGGACAATTAATCGAAATAGTACAGTATAGCTACAATTCTATAGTTTTATTGATGCTAGTGTTCTTGGAAATTCAGAGGACTAACTTAGGTTGATGCTATCAGGTCACATGATGTCAAAGTTGTTCTTACCAGAACTGTATCTCTTTTTGATCAACAAGCCTTGACAGCAACTCAGTAACCTTTCAGTCATCCTGTCTGATATAATGATTATTCTGAACAGAATCCATTTTTGAAAGCACTAGTATAATATCATATAGCTAGATCTACCCATTAGTCCACTTTATCATTATTGTTACTCTGATCTTGTATATACATATCATTTGATTGTAAAATCCCATTGGCCAGATAGAAAAGATTGGCCAGGAAAAACTTCTGAGGGGTGAGAATATGATTGTCCTGTTCTGATCTATGCAATAGAAGCCAGATCATATTCTGTGTAATTGGTTTATAAATTATAGGGTGTATTGCTGTGACACCTGCATTCAGCAGCAAACATATCATAGCAGGCTCACTGGCAATAGGATTTGGGGAGAATAAGGCAGCCAGCAGTGGATTTCTATACTTTCCAGCGATAATATTGACATCTGCACCTAAGTCAAGAAGCAGCTGAACAGTTTCAATTCTTCCCTGGTATACAGCAGCATTTAGAGCTGTACCATGATATCCACTGACCAGATTTATCTGGGCACCTAAGTCATTTAATAACTGGACCAGGCTTGGACATTGACCAACTGTTGCAGCTTGGAGTGCAGTTCCATAAAAGCCAGTAACCAGATCTATCTGGGCACCTGCACCAACAAGAAGTTGAATAACTTCTGTGCTACCACAGTTTGCAGCAGCATGAAGAGCTGTTCCATACTCTCCCCCTATAAAATTAACCTGTGCACCTGAGTTGAGCAGAAGTTGAACAGTATCTGAGATATTCCTATATGACGCTATCTGCAGAGCAGTTGCATATTGTCCAGCAACTAAATCTACTAAGGCACCTGAGTTGAGTAAAATGCTGATAATTTCATTGTGCCCTTGTAATGCAGCAGCATGGAGAGCAGATCCAAACTTTCCTGCAATCAAATTCACCTGAGCACCCAAATTAATCAGAAGTTGGACAGTTTCTACAGATCCTCTCCATGCCGCAGCTTGAAGAGCTGTTCCATATCTACCAGCGACTAAATTGACCTGTGCACCTGCAGTGATCAACATTTGAACAACTTTAGCATTTCCTCTTGATGCACCAGCTTGGAGAGCAGTCCCATAAAAGCCTGCCATCATATCTACTTTGACACCTGTATCAAGTAAAACCTGGATGATTCTTAGGCAATGGCACGGGTAGGCCATACCCGCGCGGGTACGGGTACGGGTCAGCGGCGCCCTTATCCGTGGCTTGATGACTCAGCTGGCCTTGCTCCCTTGTGGTGTCCAAGATGCTCTGCGTTCGACTCTGCTCTCGCGCAGCATTTTTATCTGTCCTTCCGGACAATAACCAAGATGTCTCTTCCTCCTTGCCTGCCCAAACCATGGGTAAACCCATACCCGTACCCGCGGGTATGAGTACTGTGGCTGTGCGGGTACGGGTGCGGGTAGGCCCTCGGATACCCGTGGGTATACCCGTGCCATTCCCTAACAATTCTTATTGCTCCATATAATGCAGCACTATGTAGGGCAGATCCATAATGCATATCAATAGTCTGTAAACTGGCCTCTCTATCTTGTTCTAGCAACATCTGTATAACAGCATAGTTCCCATGCAAAGCTGCATAAACCAGTGCTGACCCTTCATTATTGGTCTCCTGATCTCTCAGAAGTTTTACTAGCTTAGTCAGATTACCAATAGCAGCAATAGATTGAGCTGTTATGTGAGGCCTAGTTAGGTGCATCCAAGGTCCTGACCAATCTAGCTTGTAGATATATTCAGCAATTCTGTGGGTTGTTATATGTTGCAAACATTTAATCAGATCAGATTGTAATTCCCTTTCCCCTCTTCCTTGTCCATGTATAAGAATGTACTGGGCATATGACAATAGAGGATAGGAATTATGCATATCTTGTTTCTCCATTTGACTGATATCTCTAGTTGGTACCAGTTGAATATATTGTGCAAGTGTCTGTGTGATTGTGATCTCTGTATCTATCATGTCTGAGAGGTCCAGACTTTCAAGAAAGCTTTGAGTGGTGTAGTGGATCAAGCGTATTATATCTGATCCCTGCTCCCTAATAATCAGGCCACAGCATATTTTTATAATATGGGCAATCTTAACTAGCTGCCTGCTTCCAGGCAGCTTCACAGAGTCTAATGTCATAGCAAGAGCTGTTTGTAGCTCAGTACCTGTCAATGGTCTCCTAGCATGGGAAATCCATCCAAGCGCTAAAATAGCAAGCTTTCTATAGTTAGCTGGTTGGAGCTTGATAAGTTCAACTGCCCGATAATATCCCAAGTCTAGAGTTTCTGGTAAGGAATCTAAGGCTATTTCCAAGGCCTCTAGTGTGAGGCATGTGCTAAGCAGCTGAAGTTGTAGCTTAATAATTAGGAACCTGTGAATCTGTGACTTTTATATTACTCTATATATCTGATATGACTTACATTCCTCCTGCTTTTGCAACCATCTTATTGACAATCATAGTCTTCAAGTCAGAATCTCCAGAAATAATATCTATCAGAATGTGATCCTGTCCAAGCTGGTTTAAGATATATGATCTCATATCCTCTTCATTTGCTTGGATGGGAAGGACAGTAATAGCTGGTTGAGAGAGGGGGGACAAATGAGGTCTGCACATTATCATTAAATTCACATTTTCCCCTAGTTGGACCAGGTTCTTGATAAGGATATGGTAATCACCAGCTGAATATTCATCTAGACCATCAACAATGATATGCACTATTTGGTAGTCTGCAACCACAGATGACACAGTCTGTTGAATATCATCCAGGGTTGGCCTTGTCCCTCTATCTTTATGGAAATTATAAAGACTTTGGGCACCTGTTATATCCTGGTCTACTGTAAGCTGCCTATATATTGCACCAAGCAGGTTCTGTGCTGTCTGTAGCTCTCTTTCTTGGTAATTCAAGTAGAGCATGGCAACACCAGTGTCAAAGTCTCTCTCTTGCTGTAGATGTTCTACTACTTTGGCACTAAAGATAGTCAGCAGCTACACATCTGATTTTTTCTTGGAAATGTTACGCTAGTACAGTCTTTCCCATGCCAGCTTATTTGAATTTAGCTACTGAGACCAATACAGTAATCTTAACTCACGAATGCCCACACACCAGAGTATCTTGCCTGGCTTTGATTTCCAGTCCACAAAGTCAGGATGGTGCACAAACCAGTCTCCAGTATCCTTCTGACACGATTCATAAATGGTTTGGTGGTGGGGGAAGAAGTTGAGGGGAGAGATCCAGTTCATGAGCTCTCTCCGCCCATATGCTATAATTGTATCAGTCGTCATAGCACTGTAATGAGGACTGCACATACATTCTGCTCCTGCGCCGGAAACTACCCTGCAGCAAGGTTGGACATCATACACAAGTGGAGAGGACACACACATGCTGGCCTGTGTTATGTAGATCTGGGGGCCTTGGCCCATACCACCGCCACCGCCGCGTTGCCCGCCAGACCCACCAGCGCCGCCAGTTCCGCCTACACTTGGGGAATGTTTTCAGTCACCATTACCCTAATCTCATTGCTGGAGCACAGACCTGAGATGTGCATGGCTGAGGTGGAGTTAACGAGGTCCATTGTCAGTGGGAAGGCGAAGAATGTGGGAGGAAATAGACGTGTCACGGCGCTTACACTGGCGCCATCACGCCAGTAGTGTCAGGTACGATGCAACACGCCAAGTACTTAGATCTGATTCAATACATTAACATCGCCTCCCACTCCTCGTGGCGTCATTACAGGTGTACGAAGGGAAGTTGGGACTTGATTATCGCAAAAGCGCCTCCACAGCGGTAATCTGCGTACGGTCTAACACGGAGTGTGCGATCCGCCTTGGGCGAGCTACGAGTAGCAAGCCATGAACGCGGGTAAGAAAACAATTTCAATATTCAAGTTGGAGGCCAAGCTGTAGGATGACTGGAAGTCGACGTAACTCAACTCAGGCGTTTGCAACTGGCGGCGTTTGCAGACGAGAACTTGGAGATGATCCGAGTTGCCCGGAAATGACAGCGCGGGAAAAGGTGCAGTGTGATTGATTACTCACTGTGCTACGTGTCACTTGCGTTTTTCGTTTCTCCTTCGATGAACCTCAGAACTCGGACGTGCTCCACCGCGTAATAGGCTCATTCACTAGCGGAATCTTGCTCTGCTGACCACGGGCCGCCGCTTCATGATCATCAACGCCGCTGATTCTTGGCTGATCCAGCCTGAGCTTCCGCGCCTAGAATAGAGCGCCCGTCCCACGGCCTCCTTGTCGCCCATGCTGTCCATCCCCGCCTTTCCGCCAACCCACTCCCTCTCCACTCGGGCATCCAGCAATAAATGCAGGGACATCGACGACTGCCGCCGGCTCTTCGACATCGTCTGGGGCTGTCTCGTGACCGTCTTCCTGTGCATCTGGGTTTCCGTCCACCCAAACGTGCCGCCTCCCCCGCCAGACAGCCCCGCTAAACGCGCCAGGCTGCAGCGCTGGGCAAAATGGTACATCATCGAGGCGAATCTGCCGCTGCTGCACCGCATGAAGCTCCTGGCGACCGCGCTGGTGGCACCTGAGCTCATCATCGGCTTTGCGGGGAGGCAGCTGGCTGTTGCCCGGTTCTTCTCGCGGAGTAAGCCTCCGAGTCTCACTTAGTTGCCCGTCTGACAGGTGATTTAGCGCACAATATTTCGTTGACACACGGATTTTTCATCGTCATGGGCGGATTCATCGACGCGGACGGCCATCCGATCGTCACGCAGAAGCAGCTCTGGCAGCCAGGTGTCGCTGCGGCCATCCGCGCCACATCCGAGGCCACGCTCGAGGACAAGAGCAAGGGGGACCTCTTTTCCAAGGGGATTGCGCTCTGCCAGGGCCTTTGGTTCATCCTACAATGCATCGCACGCCGGGCCCAGCGTCTCCCGCTCACTGAAATAGAAGTTGTAACGCTCGCGTTTGCGACGATAAATGCGCTCACGTGGCTTCTGTGGCTCAGGAAACCACTCGATGTGCGCGAGCCGATTAGGCTTCCCTTGAGCACCGGAGGCCCGGCTTCGCAATCGCTCACTGGCACCCCCGGCGGTGGCAGCTTCAACGTAGACCATCCGGTCTCGAACATCTACAGCCAATACGACCCCCTCGCGGCCACCGCCGTCCCGACGTTCTGGTGCACCACCGAGGACGACGAGGAAGTACTCGGGCACGTGTGGATTCTCACCTTTGTCGCACAAATGTTCTGCGGGGCGCTCTTCGGTGGCATCCACTTTGCCGCGTGGTCTGCAGTCTTTCCCTCTTTGGCCGAGATGTGGCTGTGGCGCGGTGCGTCGCTGCTCGTGACCGCGCTGCCGCTGGTCCTGTTGCTTGTGTTCTTGAGCGATGGCGTGCTGCAGTGCCCGGCGTCGCTATTCGGCCTGCTGACATTGGCGGGCAGCGGGTTGTACTGCGTTGCCCGAGTCGTGTTGCTCGTGCTCCCACTGGCGACGCTGCGCTTCCAGCCTGCGGCAGCGTTTGAAGATGTTGATTGGAGTGTTTATATTCCCCATTTGTAGGCGAAGGCTCGGAGCGACTCGGATATCAACAAGTAGATTGGTGACGCTCAACGAGTACAAAGAGAGTACGAGTATGAACCTGAAGCAGACGGAGGAAGGAGCTACCCAAAGTGTCAGTAGATTGAGACAGATATTAGCAAACCACACAGATACGCACCTTGTAGAAGTTCTAAATCGTGAGCGACAAGGAGACGGCGAGTGACACTCTCGTCGTCGTCGGGAAGAAGAAGGACGCTGCCTGGCAGCCCGAAGCATCATGCATGTGATTCCGATCTTTGGTAATTGAGCCTATTAACTCGGTCAAGTCCTGACAGTCCTGTCAGCATCGCTGGCGCAATGGAAGTAAAAGGCAATGAGACACCTAGAGGAAGATAGGGAATTTACATAGTTGGAAGAGGAAAGGAAGGAATGTCGCGCGAGTGATGTCGCGCACGGACCAACCTGCGAGCACGTGCTTGATCTTGGCGGAGACGCTGTGACACTGAGTGACAGGCTTGCTCTTGACAACCATGGACACTCTGCCACTCGAGCTCCTCGAATACGTCTCGCGGGACCTGAAACCCGGGGACCTGTACTCTCTCTGCTTGGCGAGTAAACGACTCCACTTGGCGAGCCAGCGAGCTCTCTATTCAGATATCACTATCGACACCGACGACGCTGCTCGCACGATCCGCTGCCTTCAGATGCTTGCGGGACACGCCAATCTCGCAAGATTCGTCAAGAGCCTCACAGTGTCAGCTTTCTTGCCGCCTTCCAAAACGCTCTCACAATGTCCTTTAGCATCCATTTTGACACGACGACGAAACTGGCTGCGTTCCGTCAGCTCGTTCTTCACGCCATCAAAAACTGCCTTCTCCTCGAGAATCTGTGGTGTGGAGCGTCGGTGGAGTTCACAGCCCTAATTTCGAAGGAGACCGCAATGATGTTCCCCCGGCTTCGCTCCTGCGATATGCCATATGTGCGCGGGTTGGCGGAATATGTCGAACGTCATTCCGCTACATTACGCGTCCTGAATATCTTCTCCAGCACGATTGCGGTCCTTCGTATCTCGAATTTCGATCTCACTTGCATTGGACGTCCCCATTTGCCCAATCTCGAGCACTTCCATGGCCCGCCTCTGTTGGCGGAGTACTGGCTCCACAGCTCCCCTGTAATCAATCTGACGCTGTCATTCACGTCTAATCTGGAGGGAGGCATGGGTATCCGCCCAACTACATCCTTTGCTCTGCTGGTGTCGTTTACCGCCTTTTTCTCGAGGTGGGATAAAACACTCTTCCCTACGCTCGCGACAGCTGCACCAAACCTCGAGTGTATCAAACTTCACCATGAACTTGAAGACTCGGCGGCAATGAAGCATGGATACGAGGCATGTCTTCGGTCGGTCATGTAGACGCGCTAACAACGTGACTAGGAGTTCCTCGACTCAGTCGAAAAGTCGCTCTCGGCGTTTACCAACCTGAGAGGCGTATTTACGAATCTCGAAATGTCATTTCCGGTGAGGGACGCGGATTCTACGACGCCATTGGCCAGTCTCGAGCAGAGTATAATGGAGGAGCTTGGGTGCATGCATCGCTGGGCCACGCTCTGTCCGACGCTCGCGATCGTTTGTCTCCTGTCTGGCTGGATGTGGCTGGGCACTGGCATCGGTGCTAAAAAGTTGTGGCTTCCCTGACTCCTACCTCTACGACCATTGCTCCTGTTTCTTGTGGGCAAGAAACGCAAGAGGGGGATACTGTTATATCTGTGCCGACTCCGGCATCCGTCTCCGATATCCGTCTCCGGTATTTGGTTTTTACGCAATGAAGATTTACTGAGCGTTTCCAATTACCCCGACTTATGATCTATGCAATCATCTATGCCTTGTTCCTCGTATGCAACTCCTTTTCTACTTTACTTGACTTTGTTCTAATCTTGTTACTTACTTTGTTATACCTTATTCCGTTTCCGTTACTTCTCGTACTATAAATACTTTGATGTATTATCACGTACTTCAGTTTGTAAATTAACGTTGCTGGTCTCTATCTCCCAGCGTCGTCTCGACTCCGCTCTTCCTTTCTTGTCTTGTCTTGGTCAACTGGAAGCCCCGGTCACCCAAACATCCTTCTGTGGTGTTCCGCCCCAAGTGCTCTACGACTTCGATTCCGTTTCCGACTTCGACTCCGTCTCCGTCTCCGTCTCCGTCTCCGTCCCTCTGGTCGACACGGCACTTAACAGAGTGCATCAACCTCGGGTCCAGCAAAAACAGCGCCTCGTGGGACAACCTCAATCCGACCGGGGGGCAAATTCCTCTACACGGGCGTGGGCTGCACCGGGGACTCCTACATCCTCCGCGGTGGCTCTGGCTGCCTCGCCCCGCCGTCCGGGTGCGTGTTGTCTCACATAATGCTGATTTTCGGCGACTGACTTGTTCTCAGGAGCACCTGGTGGAGCGTCCGTGTGTCCGTCAGCAACCCGAATCCCTAGCGTACATGTGTGTCTGGCCAAAGAAGCCTGAGCCGTCAAATAGGATTGTGAATGATCGAGCGCTCGTGTGTGCATTGAGGACTGTAAGCGTGTTTCTATCTCGTGACCGTCCAGAGCAAAGGTGTGCTGCAGTACCCCGGGCTGCCAACAGAGGGCGAGCAGCGGATTTAGAGTGCAGTTTTTTGATCCAGTTTACAAACCGGTTTATAAACCAGTGTTTATGAACACCAGTTTAGAAAGATTTCACTGGGCCTCTGGTTTATAAACCAGGCTAGTCACGTGACTTAAGTGATCCAACTACTGCCAGCTGATCAACATTATTAAATATAAGTCCTGTACATTATATATGGTAAATTATCACCTGTACCACAGGTTACTGAGAGAAAAGAGGTATGAATGCAACCCCTTCAGCTAGAATGTAAGGCTGGAAAAATTTATATCATGACATCAAAATATCACATGTTTGGTTGCCTGGTTTATAAACCAGTTTATAAACACCAGTTTGGGACACCAAAAATTATAAACTGTTTTTTAATAGTCAAATATTTAAAAACTGCACCCTAAGCGGATTGTACTGCCAGTGGGTTGCCCGAGTCGCGATGGTGACGCTGTCAGTGTGAAGTTTGAACCGTGATTCATACCACACAATTGCACAATTTGCGCCTTGGGTATATTTTAAATTTATGTTCTCAAGAAGCCTCATCCCAGAAGCAAAAGATGGGCATCCCTTACGGGCCGTCGTTGCCTGCGGTGATTATACTCGCTCCCACTGGCAGCGAAACATATGAGCTCAGCTTGCCTATATCCCAGCGGCCCTAGACCACGCTTCCACGTCTCTGTCCCGCCACTCGATAACGCCATGCTTCGACCACTCTCGAGCACAGACTCGGAGAGACGACCCCTTCACCCGGTTCCCGAGCTGTCCAAGATAATTTCATGAGGAGATGTTTTCCTTGAACGTCTTTACATCGACCCCACTCTGATCATCCACTCGAGCAACTTGTCATGCTCTCCTAGAAGCGCACTCCGAGAGAATGAGTCGGAGTCAGAGTTGGACTTGTGAAAATTTTGAGTCGAAAGCCGGAAAGGCCGAGATCACCGAGGAAGCCGGTGAGAACGTGATAATGGCAAGAAGGACGGAAAAGGAAAGGGGTGACAAGAAGCACGTCACCGATTGACATCAATCTCTCTATCTTTACCACTTCCCACCATGCCGCCTAAACGCCAAAACGCCAAAAACGCGAAGAAGGCCAAGAATCTGTACACCAACGCGGTGGAGCAGGTCGAGGAGTTGTCGGAGACGGAAAGGATTGGTGGCTGGGTTGGGGGGACGGACAGAGACCCCTTGGCTGACGTGTTACCGTCGGGTAGCAACCGACGCGTAGACATGCGGAGGGAGTTGGAGGAGTTGGATCGTAGAGCGGAGAGGCTGCGTGCTGAGCTCGCGGAGATGGCTCCAAGGGCACCGTCACCGGGTGGTCGGTCGGAGTCGTACGATCCCGATGACCCGGTTGACAACGAGCCGATAAACGAGGAGGAGTCGGAGCACGGGTCCGTCATAGCCCCGTTGGCTTCGGTCCCGAACGATGAAGAAGAGCTCATCGAGCGAGCGGCCGAGTACCACCGGAGCCGAGCCGAGCAGCAGCGAGCCCAGGTGCTCAAGGAGCAGGAGGATGAGGCTGAGGCCAAGAGGAAGGAAGCAGAAAAGGCCGAGCGCAAGGCCGAAGAGCAGAGGCGGAAGGCCGAGTTGGCCAGAGCGCGGGCCAGGGCTCGCCGGGAACGCGGACTCGCACCGCTGACGCTTGCCGAGACAGCCGAGGCAAATGCCCGGGTTGGCCGCCGGGTCATGCAACGCGTTGAGTCATCCGCGGAGCCCGAGCCGGCTGATGTAGCCGAAGAACCCAAGAAGGCGGGAAGACCCGAAAAACGCCGAGAGCGCCGATAAGGCCCAGACTGCCAAGTCCGATGCGGGAGGCGATGAAGAAGGCGAAAGTAAGTGCAAAGATTTTGATTTGAGTTAAACACCTAACCCGATTTGGCAGAGAAATGTCGCAAATGCATCAGGTCGGGGAAAGCCTGCGTGTGGGTCGAGCCCAAACCCAATACGACTTGGCACAGAAGGCTGTCTTGCGAGAATTGCCGCAAGCTCAAGATCCGCTGCGAGGACGGAAACCCGCCGCTGCGATTCCGCAAAGACGAGAAGGAAGCGGGGATGGTCAAGGAGAAGGGCAAGAAGAAGATTGCGGGGCCACGGATCGTGGTGCCCAGAGTGGTTGCGAAGAAGGCTCTCCTGCGGAGACGTCAGCGGAGACGCCAGCGGAAACGCCAGCGGAGTCGTCAGGCCTGACGCTCAGCAACCGGGGGTTGCCGCCACAATCGGCAATCTGCTGATGCGTCAGCGAACTGATCACCGGCAACTCAACCGCGTGATCATGGGTTTACAAAACCTTGGTCGCGAGCTGCGATTCAACGTTGGCGCAATCAATTCGGCGACCACACCCGAACAGCTGGACGAACGCATCCAGGGGATCGACAAG